GGGGGGGCGCCAAGGTACCGTGTGAGAGTAAGCGTGAGCGCTGGAGGGTGTGGCGGCGTGGAGCCCAAGCGCAGGAGGAAAGACGGAGTTTCTCGGTCGAGAGAGGGAAAATCTGCGATTCCATTCTTTTGATTCCCCGCTGTGCTGCGTTATTGTGCTGTTCTGCCCGTCCCTATCGACGCCGTGCGGATATTAGTGCCGGGGCGAGCAGAACGAGAGCATTCATCTCCACCTGGGGCGGAGGAGACAGCATCAATAGGAGACGGAAATCTTATTATTTCGTTGTGAAAAATGCCACCAGGAATCCGGCAGCGCAATAACGACATCGGCCGCGTGGCGCGGCCTGCTATGTCGGTTATTTTATCAATTTTTTTTTGTGTTGATATCGATACCGCCTCTTCCCCCTCGGGGCTCTGTCGCGCTCCACCCTGCTACCTCACTCTGTGCTCCTTGCTCCACCCCAAGCGCCCCGCCCCTTTCCCCTTTGCGCTCTTTCCTGCCGTGTAGCGTCCGCGAAGGTACATACCCGTCGCGCGTCGCCCAAAGGGAAAGAACAGAAACTTTCTTCTTGTTCGCCGTCGTCGCCGCCGTCGCCGCCATCTTCCTTGCCTTTTTCTTATCGTCATGTTTTACTTTTCTTATTTTTCGCGCGCTCTGCGTAAAATCCACTCTGGCTGGGCGTTGCTCCGCAGTGCTCCGCTGCTGTGCTGCACCGACAGCTGTCAGCCCCCCGCCCCTCCCCCCCGGGGAAGGCTTTTGGTGCGCAGAGGGAGGGAAGGCAAAGGGAAGTCCGCCGTTTCGGACGCAAAACCGACGCGAGTTTTCTTACAAGTCCAACCCTTATTTTCTGGCACTTTGCATCTGCGAGAGTGACACGACGACGACGGGTGGGGGAGTGTGTGGGGAGAACGAGAAGCAGAGGGGTGGTGTGGACGAGGCGTGCCAAGGTTTTGCGAAGCTGCCAAAGGCGCACCAGCTCCGCAGAGCCTCCAGGGTGTGGCGGCGGCCGGGCTGGGCCGGAGCGGAGGCGACCCTCTCTATTGGAGTAATGGGGTGATCAGAGCGAGCCCCTAGCGAGCACAATGAAGGGAGAGGGGCGGGTGCACCCTCTAACTCATTCAGTAGGTGACTCAGGGCATGATGGAGGGGGCTGGGGGCCCCGGGCCGGGATGGGGCCTCTTAACCCACATATATAGTGACGTGTCATCAGGAGGTCCATGGACTGGCAAGTGGGGGGGGGGGGGCTGCGGATTAGCATGCGATAGGCCGGCTCTCCCCGTCGTCGGTCGTTGCCCCTCATCCACACATCGACGGCTCGAGGCTTCTCTCGCGTTGGCTGTAATGCCGCTGTCTCTTTCGTCAGAGGCAACAGCATTATGATATAAACAGCATCAAGTATTTTGGATCGATTTTTGACAGCCTCAAACGACTTCATATAAGTGACGTCCTTCCAACCCAGTGTACCAAAATTTGTGGACGTGTGTGTGTGTGTGTGTAAGGTCGTAAAAGACCTTTCCGGTAACACGACGTTTCACACTGCTCGGCTTGGCTTTGGGAGTAAAAGAAACGAAATCCAGGCCGCAGTCAGTGAGAAATCGTGCTTGAAGCCGCCTGCATAACAGAAATCGTGCTTGAAGCCGCTTTCATAACAGAAGCGAGAGCAGATAAGGTCCATTCCCCGACCCTTCTTTCTTATTGCTGTCTTGAGGAGGTCGACGACCTACCTATGACAGTGGTCAGGATGACGAGGCCGAGGAGGACGGCCACGCTGACCATCTGGACGAGGTGCACCAGCTCCTCGTGTTCCGTCCATGTCGACGCGTTGCCCAGCTCCATGTAGCCTCCTAGGCCGAGCAGCTGGGTGGCGGACGCGTTGCCCGTCAGGTTGGCGGAGAGGTTGCCGGGGAGGTTGGCGGGGGTCGAGGCGTTGAGCGAGACGTGGAGGAGGCCCAGTCCGACGTCCACCGTGGCGTTGGGCCCGCCGATGATGTGCCTCCACGCGATGAGCAGCTGCTCGGCCACGCCCACCTGCCCCAGGGCGCCGCCGTCAGCCTCGAGGCCCTCGAGGTCCTCGCGGTCCAGGCCGAGGCTGCTGGTGAGGTTGGCGAACGGGTCCAGCCCGGTGTCGTTCATTTCACGCTCCATGGGGTTGACGAAGACGACGGAGGTGGCGCGTGCTGCGCGCGCCTTGCGCTCGACTGCTGTTCGGGTTGGCCGGGCTCTCTGGCGGGACGCTGTGGCCTCGGCCGCCGGGTGGCCGTGGCCGTGGCCAGGGCCGGGGCCGGGGCCGCGGGGCGGCCGGGGCGCCGCGGGGCGGCAGCAGCGGGGGTCAGAGGCCGGCGGCGATAGCGGCGACAGGCGGCGCTGGTGACGGCGATGCACGTCCCGCATGTCCCCGGGGCTCATCGCTGCAGCCTCGGCCGCGGCCCTGGCCACAGCCTCGGCGCCAGCCACGGCCCCGGTCCCTGCCGCCGCCGCTGCCGCCGCCCCTGCCGCTGGCTACGCCATGCCGGTGCCGGCGCTGCTCCGGGCAGCATGGGCGTCTGCGTCCTATGCTCGCCGCCGAGCCCCACTACTGTGGGGTGCGCATGGTGCGGCTCGTGTTGTACGGGCGCCTGCAACACAAGGAACAAACTCCATTAGCGACGATACGACAGACGCTCCCAGCAAGGAAGTTCTCACGCCCCGCTGCTGATGTAGATACTCAACAGCGAAATAGATGAACTTTTGCGCTGGCGCATTGAATGAAACTCGTGCCCGCCGTGCGTAACCTGCCTGCCAGTCTGCTAGTTGTGCTCCAAAGTGCACCTCCCATTGTGCAGCTTTGTGGCCAGAGTTATCTCGCAGAGTGACTTTGCTCGCCACCCGCCACCAGTGTTTTGTTCACCCCGTGGAATGTGGGGCAATGCACCAGCTCTTTGCCCCACATCTCCCCCCCC